GATCCTGGGCCAACCTCACTACTGTTGCCACATTTGAGTTCACTGATGCTGCCACTTGGCCAATCCATCTCATTTGGGGGGAGGGGGGGCGTATTTCTCTTTTTCTCTGACACTCCACCTAACCAAACATGATATCCTTCTCCAGCGACTGGTCCCTCCTGACAATATGTCCAAAGTATGAGAGACGAAGTTTGGCCAACTTGGCCTCTAAGGAGCACTTGGGCTGCACTTCTTCTGTATTACAGATATATAATAAACTCTAGTATGATAACTTTTACACTAAATGTTTATAAACTGAATAAAGATTATGCAACAGAAAAGCAAGGTTAGTCAGTGAATTTCATTATCCTCTTTGCAGCATGTGTCAAGCTACCTGGTCAGTATAGTCAAAAATAAATAAATAAAAGCAAAAGGAAGATGTGTCTAACCAAACAGCAAAATGCAAGCATAGGGAATGAAGTAATTATTAAAGGATTAAAGGACAAGAAGCAAAAAATTTTAAGAAAGAGACTTTTGCTCAATTGCTTCTAATGCTGTAACTAATAATGTAATTCAGAAGATTTCACAAAACAACTTTGTTGTTAGTATTCATATAATCTAAGAAATGCTACATATAAGCAGTTAACAATTAACATTTATCACATATTATTCTGTGATTCAAATGATAACAGACCTTACTAAGGATTCGTAACACCAAGTCTAGTGATGCCAATACTGATTCTCCCAGCTCAAATCTCATCACGTGGTTTTCTCTTCTTTCATAAAGCCACTTTGTACTTTGCTGGGCCAGTCTGGATTTTAATGTTTAAACTCCCATTGTACTAACACTCAGTACCAAACCATGTATCTGTAATTAGTTTGTTAGGAAATTTTCCTTTCCAACTACAATTCTAACTTTCTGAGAGCAAAAAAACCCTTCTACTTATTACGTCTAAGTATGTGTTGGTCAATTGATTGGAAAATTAGAAAAGTTGAATGAATGTTCAATAAAAAATTCTCTTTGTGAAAAAAAATTAAAATGCAAACACAGGAACAAAAAAAGAGAAAGACAGGTGCCCACAGCTTACCATTCCTCAGGAGAGCAGCCATATTCCTCAGGTTCAGGGACATGGCTTCAGCGAGAGCAAGAGAAGGGAAAAGAGACGGAAAATCATCATAGGAAGGCTGGAAACCAAAGCATGAGTAAGACAGGTATGGATCTACAAAAATTCTTTAAAAATGAACTTTTAGTTAATTCTGAAAGAATGGCAGTTAGTATATTGAGTAGTAGGTGACAACTTAAGGTAGGCGAAGCAGATTTACAAATTACCCTATAACTGAATTACTAACTTGCCACCACAAAATGTACTGACTTTTACACAGAATTTAGTACCCGTAGGAAATACATGAATTTTTCAATTTAAATTCACACACTATATGAAAAAAACAAAACACCCAGTCACATATAGTATATAATCAGAATCAATAATACTTAAGAGCAAACTATTACCATAAAATTTGCCAAATTCATTTAAAAATAACTTTAACTATATAATGAGGTGATGGTTCTTTAAACTGGTTGTTGTTAAGTGCTACCAAATCTGTTCTGACTCATAGTGACCCCATATGATGTTTCACAGGATGTAAATCTTTACAAGAGCAGAAAACCTTATTTTTCACCCAAATTTCCCAGGCTAGTGCTTATTCTACAGAGCCACCAAACTCCCTTTAAACTGGCATATTAAAATAAAAGTTAACTTCATCTCTAGTAAAAATCTAAGCCATGTTTTCAAAGATGAATTGATAGTCAAAAATTTTCACTCAAACTCTAATTCACTAATTAAAGCATTTGTTATTTTAAACAGTAAAACACATTAATCATGATTTCAATATCACCCATTACCTCATTTGAACACTTAGGAGAGTCTCATCAATGTGTAGATTTCATTCCAACCATACATTCAATGGAAAGTGTACCAAGGTACATGAAAAAACAGATTTCCTTATTTCCTATGTCTTTCATTATATATGATCACTTAATATTTTCCTTTAATTTAAATTTATTAGCTATAGACAGAGCTTTTAAAATGACAAGTTTGTAAGCATGTAAAGGCATCGTTGTTTGGACACACATACAATAAACTTCGCTGAAAACTCATGGGATCCTTTCACTTTGTCAATATCTATCCCCACACTCTATTTAACACCTCCCATTAACTTGGCCAGAACAAGGGTCTTATCATTCCAAGGCACTTCCCAAACATTTAACTGTTTCAGTGCTGGATCCTTTATCTTCACTCCAACCACACTGGGGGTGGTCCAACCAAAGGGCATTTTTTATGTGCTTGAGAGGAAGAGATAACCATGCCCCTAAGGGCTGGATTACTAGGAAAGCTGTTGGCCCAGTGCTGAAGGCAATCACAAATGATCAACCACAAGGCTTGGACTCCAGTCTTCTGACTGAAGCAAAGGAGGTCTGGCATGATCCAAGCAATGAACACTGCACCAAGTTCTGCTAGTTCTCACTGCTGTTGTACATCAGGGCCTGATGCTTACATCAGAGGAGGCTGGTAGCATCAAAGCCCCTGAAGCCCAGGGCTGAAGGTTCCACTCCCAGAGTTTGGTTCTGCTCTGCCACCATGCTAAGTGCTACTCAACATGAGTCAGAATCAACTTAACAGCAGTGGGTTTGGGGTTTTAGCCAGTGTGATGAGCAGCAGGCAACCTGCACACTTGTTATTGACCCTGTGTGCATGAGTTTCTCCCACCACTGCAGTAGTTCATGCAGCAGGTCTGTGATGTTGTTATCTGCCTTAATCAAACTCATCATCCTGAGAGCTCAGCTCAAGCATCACTTTCTCAGGGAATATTAAAATTCAGAAGCCACCCAAATTAGATCAAATCTATCAAATCACATTAAAATCTATGCACTATGTTAGAATTTTATATTTGTCTGTATGATCACTTGGTTAAAATCTATTAGTCTCCAATAAGACTGAGCGCAGAAACCACATGCACTTCTGATCATCATGCCTCCATCATCTAACCAAGTGCCACTTACACAGAAGGTGAGAGACCCACATTTGTTGTAGTACATGACTAAATGAATAAGAGATGGTTAACAGCTTCTATCAATATTCTTAGTAAGAAGATAAACTTTTTGGTTATCATCTGGACCCTCAGTTTCAGAATGATACTAATTGTGGTATCTCTCTCTTGGTGAGTCTCTCCTCATGGTTAAAGTAGCAACTGATCCTTTCAGCAAACCTACTGCTAAACAAAATATTGTAAAGTGAAGCTATTCAGAGACTGCTGTATTCATAGGTAAGTAAATAATAACAAAACTGACATCAGAGATTGTATCAGTGTTTCCTCTCACTAATTCATCAACTCATTCTAACTGAAAGATACAAATCAAACACAAACACAGCACTGTAGACTGCATCTTGGCATCCTCACTGCAATGAAAATCTGAGTCTTTAAACATAAAACCTTGCTTAGCGTTTCCTGGTCTTCAAGTAACTGGGATAAAACTGACTTATTCCTTCAGTAAGTAATTTGCTTAAATGATATTTTATGTTTAGCAATAGAAATTTTAGTTTGTAGTAAGTTAAACTTACAAATGATACACACTTTGTGTACACTTAAATACAATCATGCCATGGGGAAAAGAAAAGATCTGATGAAGTAAGCTGAGTATAAGATACAAAGTTAGTCTCAACAAAAACAATCATTATCTGTAAGTATGTACAAATCTTTTTACTGGGTTTGCCCATCATGGATCTGATTTGGAGCAAAAGTAATGTAAAATGAGAGAAATTTTACTAAGACTAAACGTTTGAAATCATACTGTAAGTATTAAATACTACGTTCTTACAAACTTATGGGATACACAGATCGAGATAAACGTTTTACCACCAAGAGACTTCAAGTCTTGTCTTCCTAACTGATAAAATCCAACAGAACTCTCCTTTGGCTTTACCTATTTCTTAAGATGAAAAAGAAACATTAGCTATGAATTTGTCATGTCAAAGGCAATAGTATAAAATTTGTGTTACTTTTAACCTCTGATCAGCTCCTGCAGGGATAAACATCGTGCTTTCTTTGGCTGGGGTTTAAAGAGTACATATACCAATATATTAGTTCCCTACATCAAACAACTGTTAAACACTGCTATGGTACAAACAGGCTAGCAAAACCATGTTATTTCCCTGTCTGGTTTCCTAAAAGTCACGGGTACCCAGAGAAAATTCCCACAGAAAGATGATTGACAGTAATTACTTTCTCCCTTGGAGACTTGTTGTTCAGTACTGTCGAGAGGGCTTCGTCTTATAGCAACCCTGTATAGGGTTTCTGAGGAGTTGTTGCTGTTGTTATGTCCCGTGGAGTCAATTCTGACCCATAGCGACCCTGTACAGGGTTTCCATGGCTGTACATCTTTACGGGAGCAGAAGGCCTCATCTTTCTCCTGCAGAGCAGCTGGTAGTTTTGAACTGCTGACCCTGAGGTTCGCAGCCCAATTCATAGCCACTATGCTACCAGAGCCCCTCTCTGAGGCATAGCAGGTGGGTTTTAACCACAGACTTTGCAATTAGCAGTCGCATGCTTATCCTGTAGCACTATACTAGGATGCCCCTTGGAGACGGGCTGGGATTAAATGGTGTGCTCCTGACTGAAAACATCTGAGCAGTTTGAAGTCATGTTTTCTCCCAAGTCATGTCAGCAACTCTATATAATACTAACACTCCAACAATCTTCACTAGATACAGGAAGCTTGGGGAGGGGATGCCCAAGAAAATGCAATCTGGATTAAAACCAAAAACCCAAAACCAAAGTTATCATGCAGATTAAGACTCAGCAACCCTGTAGGACAAAGTAGAATGACTCATTAAGGTTTGACAAACTGTAACTGTTTATGGGACCAGACAGCGGCCATCCTTCACCTGCTAAATGGTTGGGAGGTTTGAACCACCGATCTTGTGGTTAGCAATCACCACACCACCAGGGCTCCTTCAACCCAGCTGAAATACATGACTATTCAGGGTGGTTTAACAACTTGTTTTATTCAATCTGGCTCCTGGCTCTTGAAACCTTGTTTAACTATTAAAGAGAAAGCACATTTCTGTTTATACAGTTAAACTTGGCAAACAAAGCAACTCCTATTTGTGCATGTGTTTTTAACAAGTTAAATTTTCATTATCTGTAAAAAGACCCTAGAGATCACCTGGTCTCAACACCTCCATTTTAAAGACTTTTAAAGGATATATCTAAAAAGAAAATTTCTAGGATCACGTGGGAAATTAATGAGAGAGCCCAGGACTAGAATTCTTTTCTTATAAGTGACTATTTAGACTGCACCTCAGTATCATGAAATGCTATTTTATCAAGAATAAATCTATTTCACTGAGAACTTACTCTATATGACACCAATTCTTAACTCTTAATACTACTTTAATATTTATATGAGTCTCTAAAACCACCCTTTCCTATAACAGCTGTTAATGATACCACCAACAGACCAGGAAGAACACAGCTCTTCAAAAGAACTACTGTCTAAAGAGTGTTTCGGATGTGCTCTAAGAATAAGGAGGGGTTAGGGTGGTGGTGGTGGTGGTGGTGGTATGGAACAGCTGATTCAAAAAACAAGAGGAAAAAAGAGGTTACATCTCATTCTAGTTTTCTATTCCAATAAATTCACAATCAGTCATGACTAATTGGAAAAGCTATCATAATTCAATTGGAAATTGTACAAAGTGAAAAGGATATGCATTACCAAACAGATCACTCCAGAATAATATTCGGAGACGTGTATAAAAAAAAATTACCAAAAATCCTACAGCATGTATAATACAATACACTCTAAAATCACAGAAGACTTTTCGTTCTCTCCTCTGGGCAAATCATGGGTAGAATAAACCCAAAACAATCAAACCTACTGCATTCGAGTTGAATCCAACACAAAGCAGACAGAGTAGAACTGCTCCCTTGTCTCCAAGACTGTAAATTTTTTATAGGAACAGAAAGCCTCATCTTTCTTTCCCATGGAGCAGCTGGTAGAATCTAAACTGAACCACCAACCTTGCGGTTAGCAGCCCAACACCACCAAGCTACCAGGGTTCCTGTGGAAAGAATGCAAGATGTCAAAAAATGTGACCACAACTCTGCAGCTCTAGTAGCCCTAACCAAATAATGTGGCCGACAGCAACTAAGGAGTCCTGGTGTGGCGCTGTGGGTTAATGCACCAGACTGCAAAGCCGTTTGAACTGCAAGGTTGGCGGTTCAAGCTCACCAGCGTCTCCTTGGAAACCGTATATGGGGTCACTATGGGTCGGAACCCACTTGACAGCACTTAACAACAACAATACAGCAACTAAGACTGGGAGATAGGGATAAGGAAAGAGTCTCTTTTATATAAGGGAGTTAAGGGATCTTCAGACAAAGGAGGAGGAAGCAAAACAGCACATTGTGGTAATTGTTAAGTGCTGTCCAGTTGGGTCTGACTCATAGCAACCTTGTATAGGGTTTCTGAGGAACAGCTAATGGGCTTGAACCTCAGTGCTTATTCTACAGTGCCACATCAGGACTCCAAAATAGCATGGAACGGTGGAAACAGTAAGTATACTTCTTTTTTTTTTTTTAAGTTTTTATTGTGAATTGAGTGATAGAACCAATGTTTGGTTTTATACTCATTCTATTGTTTTTCGCTTCATTGAAATGATTACACTCCCCTCGATGCATTATCATTCAACAGTATTTGCTCCTATTCCCTCTGGGTTTTTTTTTTTTGGATGTGCACAAAAACACTCAAGAATACGTAATAATTTAAACAACCAACCCAAGAGCACATTCTTCAAGTCTGCGTCCTGGCTGCCAGCACACAGTGTTTCTCTTTCCAGGTGTCTGGCATCCTCAGCTGCTCTATTTCTCCATGCCCTCATCTCTGCCTCCATCTCTGGTGTCGCTGCTTCTCTGGATAGGGTCCTACATTCCACTTGTGCTCTTCTCCCTTGATGGTCCTAGGGTCCTCTGTTCTTGGACTGTAAGATTAACTGCTCTCTGCTTTTTGTTACAAAACTTCTACCTTTACAGTCATGACAGTCAAAATTAGTCATGGGAACAATTACTCACTTTTGAATCATAGGAATCTTATCCCCATCTGATTTCACCAGACTTGTCTAGACAAGATGAAAGTGAAAAGCCTGTTTTTACTGTGTGGAAAAACCATTCCCTCAACTATTTTATATTGCATTTACACATATAGTCTGAAGTGATTTTTTCAGTCACATGTTCTTCTAAGCAGAAGAACAAGGAATCTGCCTCCACTAGATCTCTCTGTAGACTTTGTATATAGGAGTTGTTATTAAGTGTCCTTAACCCTGCATGGAGTTTCCGAGGCTTCAAATCTTCATAGGGGGCAGAAAGCCTCATCTTTCTCCCACAGAGAAGCTGGTGGACTTGAACTACTGACTTTTGTAGTTTGCAGTCCAGTGCTTATCATATGGAGCCACTGTGTTCCCTGTAAATGGGAGTAGCCATACGTATTTAAAATTATTCTGCAAATTATCATTTTAACTAAGTCATTTTCAATATTCCATGTGCTATTTTTATGCTGGCTTACAGCAACGAGACAGAGGATGAGTGAGTAAGGACGGGAGCAAGTCAGAAAAACCAAATGCAGATGCCCATGTTTTTCTGGCTAAGAGACGACACTTGCAGTCTTACTTGCAGATACAGATAGTTATATATTTGATAAGTCAATGTCCAGCAAACAAAGGGGGTGTTTCACCTTATGATCATGGGTTTACTAGAAATAACATTCTCACATTGCCCTATAATATATATTTCAAAAAGCAAGCTTTATAACATTCTGTTGGTGGTGGCGCTGAGTGCCGTCGAGTCGTTTCCAACCCACAGAGACCCTGTATAGGATTTCCCAGGAATGGCTGGCAAGCTTGAACTGCCAGCCTTGCAGATCACACTGAATTTGCAGTCCAGCACATTACCCACAATGCCAAGTTTATCTGGAAGTAAGAAATAAATAAGCACATTCTAAAGGACATTAAGGAATCGTGATGTGGGAACATAGGGTAAGCACTAGACTGCTAACCATAAGGCTGGCACATCAAATCTGCAAGTATATCCAAACAACACAGGACATTAATAGCCTGATAAAAGTTACTGACAAATTCATTATTACTTGGATTTCAGAGTTCCATGTCCCTGCCTCCTTTCCAGCCTGATAATTTGGGATTGCTGTGTGATTGCTAAAAAGAAGCCCTTGTGGTACAGACTGCCAACTGAAAGGTCAGTGGTTTGAACCCACCAGCCACTCCACTGGAGAAAGATGTGACACTCAACTTCTATAAAGGTTTAGAGGTCTACTTGTCCAACAGCATTGCTGTGGACTTGGAACTGACTCACTGGCAGTGGGTTTTTAAAAATCCCAATCAAAGGACTAATAAATACTTTAACTTTAAAACTGCCCAGTGACAGACTGCATTTGCTTGGTGCATGCAAGCTGTACTCTGACACTAGGACAAGACTTGTAGCAGCGCTCAAGACTGAAAAAGTACTAAGGAGAGCCTCCCAACTCACAGGTAATTCCAAATGACAAAGTTATGAAACACAAACTGTATGTGGAGGCTGAATTAAAACATTTGCTTTCTGGATTAAAAGAAAAAATCCTTCCAAATAAGTACAACACTCCCACCCAAAGTACCAAACTGTTACCACAATCACATGTGTGTTTCACAGTCTAAAGGAAAAGAACTCACCCATACGCAACTCCTGCTATGGTGCACTTCTTAAACTGCATGACATTACAGGTCAGAGTGCCAGTTTTGTCAGAAAAGATGTATTTAACCTAAAAAAGTTGAAAGTTTATCATTAAAATTTCAAGGCTGTTTTTCTCTATACCAGTCTGTTACTGAGGGAAAAAAAATCCTTAAAATTATACATGTATTTTAGAAGGGCACCAGATATTAACTACTTTCTACAATCACCAAGGAATTATACCAAACAATTTTCTTAGTGTTTTAGCTTATGAATCATTTCATGTATGTTGTTGTTGTTACGTGCCACTGAGTTGGTTCTGACCCACTGCAACCCTGTATAGGGTTCCCATGGAGAGACTGGTAAGCTTGAACCTCCGACCTTGTGACTCATACTGATTTTGAAGTCCAGTGTATTAATCATCAGCACCACACCAGGAGTCCTATCAAGATATTAGAAAGACAATGTTGTTGTCTTTAGGTGGGGTCAAGTTGGTTCTGATTCACAGTGACTCCAGGTACAACAGAAAGAAACACACCAAGTCCTGTCCTGTCTCAGCTCACAATCTCTGGTCCCTGTTGGGACCTGCTGGTTAAGCCATCACCAATCCATCTAGTTGAGGGTCTTATTCTTATTTGCTGACTCTACTTTAGCACGCATGATGTTCCTCCTGACAACATGCACAAAGCTCATGAGACAAAGTTTCACCAGATTCCTTGTAAGGAGTATTCTGCCTTTCCTTAGTTTAAGATAGATTTATTCTAGTCCAAGACAGATTTATTCTATTTTCTGTTAGTTCATGATATAGTCTTATTTTCCCCCAAGACCATAAATTATGTGTATCAATCCTTCTTTGGTCTTCTTTATTCATTTTCCAACTTTCATGTGAAATGATTGAAAATATGGCATACGTCAGGCATACCTTAGTCCTCAAAATGACAGCTTTGCTTTTTAACACTTAAAAGAGGTCTTTTACAACAGACTTGTCCAATGCAATACATCATTTGATTTTTTGACTGCTGCTTTCGTAAGCATTGATTGTGGATCCACATAAAATGATATCCTTGACAACTTCTGTTTGTTCCTCTGTTTATCATGATATTACTTAATTAGTTCAGTTGTCAGGATTTCTGTTTTCTTTATGTTGAGATGTAGTTACCAGTAAATGCTTCAAGTTCTCTTCACTTTCAGAAAGCAAGGTTTTTCATCTGCTCATCATAGATTATTAATGAATCTTCCTCTAGTCCTGGCATTGCATTATTTTTCATATAGTCCAACTATCTAGATTATAAGGAGCTCTGGTAGCATAGTGGTTACAAGTCAGGCTGCCAACCTCAAGGTCAGCAGTTCGAAACTACCAGCCATTCTGTGGGAGAAAGATGAGGCTTTATGCTCCTGTAAAGATTTACAGCCTCAGAAACCCTATACAGGGTCACTATGAGTCAGAACTGACTCCATGGCACATAACTACCACCACCTACATTATGTGCTCAGTATACAGACTGAATAAATGTGGTAAAAGAATACAAACTTGACACACACCTTTCCTGATTTTAAACCACTTACTATATCCCCCTGTTCTGTTAAAGGGACTGCCTCCTGGTCTACATACAAGTTCCACATGAGCAAAATTAAGTGTTCTAGAATTCCCATCCTTTGCAATGTTATTTATAATTTGTTGTTATCCACATAGTGTAATGACTTTGCATAGTCAATATGACACAGGAATATGTTTCTTGTATTCTTTACCTTCAGCCCAAATTCTCTTGATGAGAAACCACATCCCTTGTTCCATGTACAATTCTGAATCTGGCCTGAATTTCTGGCAACTCTCTGTTGATGTACTATTGTAACTGTTTTTGAATTATCTTCAGTAAAACTTTATTGCATATGGTATTAGTAAAACTATTTGATAATTTTGCATTACGTTGGATCCCCATTCTTTGAAATGGGAGCAAATACGTTTTCATCCAATTTGCTAAAGTTCTTGGCATAGCTGAATGAGTCCTTCCAGCACTGCATCTGTTTATTAAAATATCGTAACTAACAGTCCGTCAACCCCTGGAGCCTTGATTTTCTCTCATCCTTCAGTGCAGCTTGGACTTCTTCCTTCAATACCATCGGTACTTGTTTATAAGCTACCTCATGAAATGGTTCAACAATCTTTTTTTCTTTTTTTTTGGACACAGTGATTCTATGTATTTCTTTCATATTCTTTTGATGATTTTTGTATCATTCAATATTTTGCACAAAGAATTCTTCAATACTGCAATTCAAGGCTCAAATTTTTTTTAACCCCCCTGCCCCCCCGCCCCCCTCAGGTTATTTCAGCTTGAGAACGCTGAGCATGTTCTTCCTTTTGGTTTTACAATTCCAGGTCTTCGCAGATTTCATTGTAACACTCCTCTCTGTCTTCTTGAACCACCCTTTGGTTCTTCTGTTCAGCTCTTTCACTTCATCATTTCTTCCTTTCAGCTTTTCTAAGTTCCAGAGCAAGTTTCAGAATCTCTTCTGACATCTGTTTTGGTTTTTCTTTTGTTTTCTGTCTTTTTAATAACCTTTTACTTTCTTTATATGATGTCCTTGATGTCATCCCAGAACTCATCTGGTCTTTGGTAAGCAGTGTTCAATATGCCAAATTCTTGAGATGGTCTTTAAATCTCATGGTTTTGATCTCATGGACTTAACTTTAATTTTCTTCACCTTCATCTTGCATGTGAGCTACTGATAGTCTGCTCTGTAGGCAGCCCCTAGTTCCTACTGATGAAACTGAGCTGCTCCAATAGGCGATATGAAATTCTCAATTCAGCATTCTTGCTATACGAAGGATTTTTCCACCAATCTCTTTCATTTATCCTGATCAAAAGGCTTACAGCTGTTTTTCAGAGTTGAACACTGCCCAATTTTCTATCTGTTACAATTGCTTTCATCTATAGGTTGCTATGAATCGGAACCGACTCCACAGTACTTAACAACTACAATACTGACTTCAATGCAGTCCATGCTATTCAGCTGTATTTTGAACAGCAAATCATAACACTGAACATCTGTGAGTGAATATCTAAGAATGATAGCATCAACAAATTACTCACTGCAATAATATTATAGTACATATTGCTAATGATTAGGTATACAAAAATAAATTGGCAGTGGTTAAGTGTGGTTCACTGCAATTTGAATACATCATAAGTCAGACACTACCTGCATAATATTTATAACTCACAAACAGCCAAGAGTTTACATAATAATCACACTATATCCTGAGGGGCAGGAATATGCTTATACAGTATCTTTCATTCATCCTGAGAGCAAAATCTGCTTTAAATAGTCTTTTTTTTAAAGTTTATTTGCTGAAAATGAGAACTATTAGTGATGCACTGGTGAACGTATATATGCCACTTTTTAAAATAATGAATATTCTGTTGTTCAGAGCTGTGGAGTCGATTCTGACCCATAGTGACCCTGTATAAGGTTTCCAAGGAGCAGCTGGTGAGCTTGAACCAACAACCCTGCAGTTCAAACAACTTTGCAGTCTTACGCATTAGCCTACAACACCACACCAGGACTCCACAGATGGTAGAAATTACACGGAATCTGGCTTCCAGTTCAACAGAGCCGCAAGAAATTGAGTTTACCTGGCCAAGTTCCTCATTCAGATTAGATGTCCGAGCCATAGCAGAAGTGTCTGTGGGTTCATAGTACATGTCGATATCCTTTAAAAAAAAATTGTTTTTTAATGAAAGAAAGCATTAAATAGAGATGTGTAAAAGAGAGTGCATACAACTTTCAAATAAAACAATGATCTTTATTCTTAACAAATAATTGTTTAATTGCTGAGTGATAGGTATAACTAACAAACCCTAGTAGCCTAGTAGATTATGAGATTCTGGCATACAATGTTTAAAGATTTATGTTAGTTATATACATCCATTTATTTTCACCTTGGCAAAAATAAAGCTTTGCTTTTTATATAATGCTTATAAATTTGACAAACAAAACACCCAGAATATAGACACCCAACATATTTTTTCCCCAAAGTTAAAAGCCTTGTAGAAAACTGGCTTTGAAAAACACTACAATTTTTCCAGGAACGATTTGAAGTGCCCCTCATGTAACACTGGTAGACAGCTGGGTTGCTGGAAGTAATGAAAACAGTGATACTGTATAGTACTCAGTTGTTTATGAAGCGCTTTGCTACGTCACAAGATTCCTTTGATTCATACAACCACAAGGAAACACAGGTAAAGCATGTTTTATCCTCCCCGTGTTGTTGTTGTTAAGTGCCACTGAATCAGTCTGAACTCACAGTGACTCTATGTAGGGTGTCTGAGGAGCAGCTGGTGTGTTTGAACCACCAACCTTTTGGTTAGTGGTCCAGTGCTCATATAGCCACAAGAAGACACAAGGTAAATCATGTTTTATAGTCCCCATGTTAGTATACAATAGAATAAATCTCTAACAATTCCAGTGACTCAGCAAAGTTCACTTGACTAGTGAGCAGCAGAAACACATCTATAATCCATAATTTTGGCATGAAAACCCAGAGCTCACCTTTTTCCCATGACTGCTCTATAACACAAAACGTTTCTTGGACTAGAAACCTATTTTTCCCAGGATGACTGGTCTATAAACTTGTATGAGTCAAAGAAGGAGGATTTTGTTACCATTATATTAGGCTCAAACATAGTTTAAAACCCACCTTTGCAGTGAGCAAACTGCTAAGTTAGTGATTCTGCTTCACAGTGTCCCTAGAAGACAGAATAGAACTGCTCTATAATGTTTCTAAGATGCTGTAGATCAGCACTGGACTGCAAGCCACGAGGTTAGCAGTTCAAATCCACCAGCTGTGACTTGGAAACACTATACAGGGTTGCAATAAATCAGGACAGATGGCACTTAACAACAACCACCTTTACAGAAACAGACTAGCTCATCTTTCTCCCATGGACTTGAACTGCTAACCTTTCACTTAGCAGTTGAGATCTTGATCACTGCTCTACCAGGGCTTCCTGTAATCAGTAAGTAGTTGCTGTTAACTGCTGTCAAGTTGGCTCTAACCCACAGCGACCCTGTATACGGTTTCCGAGGAGCAGCTGGTGAGCTTGAACCAAAAACCTTGCGGTTCAAACAAACTTAGCAGTCCAGCGCATTAACCCACCGTGCCACACCAGGACCCTCTTTTTTTTTTTTTTGCTTTCGATGATGAAAAACAATCATAATTCATATTTACCCAATTTATGAAGTAAGCCTGTGTAAATTTCACAACTTCTAATGTAACCAACAAGCTGATAGGAATGAGATTGTTGAAAAGGATGATGAAGGTCAAGAAATTCAATCCAAAATTATTAGCGCCACCATCTGTAAGAGGAGGTGTGGGAAAACGTCATTTACAGTTTTATATTTCATTTTCATTGACCAAAATTTCAGCATACAAAAAATTTTCTTTGTTTTACAAGGGAATTTAAAAAGTTTGTGGAAAAAACAAGATTAAAAGGTAATGGAAAATTTTCACAAACTTTTTGAAGTCCTCTCATATAATACACGCCTAGATAGTTTGGGAGGCAAAATATACCGATAACATATCTTTATTCTCACATATATTCTTCAAGATGGAATACTTTGTATTCAATTTACTATTAACCCTATTGTGACCTATATAATGGTACTGAAAGTGAAAGTACCATCAGCATTCAAATCCTGTTCCAAACAGAAGGCTTACAGATACGAAGCTTAGAAATTAAGTGAAGGCTTAGAAATGTAAAATCTCAATTAGGTAGAATCACCTTTATAAAAATGACTGAAAGTATTTCAAACTGAAAGCATGTATTGAAAGCAAACAAATAAAACAATAACAAAAACAACCCAAACTCTATGAGTAGTAAATAAATCTAGGTCCATCATCCTCTTTACTCCTCAATAATGAAAATAAAAAAAAGCAATCCAACATATACTGATTATAAAGTACATGAAGACACAATCTGGTGGTAGTTATAAGAGATCTAATGTAGAAATAGCATAGCAATGACTGCACAAAAAACTTGGACTACACAGCTGTAAAACTAAATGAATGTCATAAACACAATTGAAATTGGTAGGATATTACTGCAAGATTTTACTAGAAATTGTTGTCACACTTTTGGAAATTGAGTATTTATTGGCTCAGTACCCATCAAATGGAAATGCAAAGTCACTTCCCAGAAATATCCAGAGTGGTAATTAATAACCACAAAGGTAAAAGGGTAAAAGCTGCAAGATGACTATAAACACAGAACTCCCTGCATTCATGTATTTAAATAAAAGTAAATTTAATTCCAGTTTTTTTTTTAAAGCATATAAACTGCTTAGTGATGCTTTAAAAAATAAGTATTTTTTAATATCCTCAATCTACTTTTCCTACCAAATCATTTTCAAACTACTTGTGTAAAAATATTTTTAATGGTATTCCCCAAGGGGGCTACAAAAAGCTCATGGACGAGAAAAAAAAAAAAAAATTGTTTAAGTTCATGGACAAATGAAACTAAAAAGATAATGGAATTTTCCCATGAACTTTTAAAAAGCCCCTCGTATTTATTAAACATTTTATACTATTATGGAGTACTCATTATGTTTTTGAGGATTCTAAAATTTTAGGGATTCTGCTATACAAGACCTCTTTAAATTGTTCAAAGGCAAAGATGTCAGTTTGAGGACTAAGGTGTGCTTGACCAAAGTCATGATATTTCCAATTGTCTCATATGTGTGGGAAAGTTGGACAATAAGGAAGACTGTAGAAGAATGGGCATATTTCATTTCAGGGTTTGGAGAAGAATATTCAAAGTACCATGGACTGCCAGAAGAACAAACAAATCTATATTGGAAAAAGGACAGCCAGAACGCTCCACAGAAGCCAGGATGGCGAGATGTTTTCTCTCATACTTGGGACATATTATCAGGAGAGATCAATCCCTGGAGAAGGACATCATGTTTGGTAAAGTGTAGGGACAATGAAAAAGAAGAAGACCACCCCACAATGAGATGGACTAATGAGTTCAAGTGTAACAATGATTGTAAGGATGGTATAGGACTGGACAGTGTTTTGTTCTGTTGTGCATAATCGAGTCGCTATGAGTTGGAACTGACTCTACATCATCTAACAACCATGTGCGTGTGTGTTTTTGCTTTTACTAGAAAACTCATTGAAAACCAAAGATGAAATGCCCAGTAACCTTTGCAATAAGGTCTTCTTTTTAGATGTAATAGGAAATTCCACAAATTAGTTCAAGATCAACTCAATTATGAAATAAATACACGCTTTAATGACAGGAAAAAAAATAAGTCTAGTGGAAACATGAATGCTTACAGTTTAGATTGAGATACCAGTCCTTTCCAGAATGCTTTCGATTCCAAATGGCTGAGCCCACAGAACAGACAAGAGACATGGCAATTAAGATGCAAAATAAAATCAAAATCTGTACATTTGTAATCCGTTCCACATTTGAGAGTTTAAGTGGTGGACTTGTTGAGTTCTGTGAAAAGAAATAATATGACCAATAAAAAATGTGTACAAATGATTTAGTAACATTTATTTAGTATGCTGAGAGTCCTAGTGTGGTATTGTAGGATAATCACAAGGTCGGTGGTTCAAACTCAACAGTCACTCCTTGGAAACTATACAGGGTTGCTATAAGTCAAAACCAACTGGACAGCACTTAACAAAAACAATAACATTTAATATTTTGGTGAGGATGAAAACATTAGAATATGTAGACAAGGAGCAGCTTGTGAGTTTGAACTGTCAACCTTGTAGTTAGCAGTTAAGTACTTATACTACATCATCACACCAGAACTCCATAGCAAAATTAACAGACACAATAAACCCTCAATGGTTAAAACCCATTACCGTCCATTTGATTCCAAATCATAGCAACCTTAAAGGGCAGAGTAGAACTGCTCGATAGGATTCCCAAGGCTATAATCTTTATAGGAGTCCTAGTGTGGCATTATAGGATAAGCACTGGACAGCAAGATTGGGTTAAACCACAAGGCTGGCAGTTCAAACCCACCAACCACTCCTTGGACACCCAAAAAGGGTCACTATGAATCAGAACCAAGCTGACTTAACAACAACAATAACCTTTACAGAAGCAGATGACACCTCTTTCTTCTGCAAAGTGACTGGTGGGTTTGACATGCCAACCTTTTTGTTACTCAGATGCTTAATGACTGTGCCATGAGGGCTTCTTTGTCAATAGCTAGCCTTTTTCTGAAGGTCACTGTATCATTCCAGTGTTTTCAAGGAGGTAAAAACATTAAGAAAGACGTCAGTAACATACCCTTGTTCTCTCATTGTGTCAGGTAAGATGAACAATGCATGACTGGGCTATTGATAGAAACTAGGTAGACTAGAAGCACCTAGCTTCTCAGCTTAAGAAAGGAGGCAAGCCAACAGGCCTGTGCACCCTACAGTCAGAGGCCTGGAAATGCCAGAGCACAAAGACAACACTGAAAGGATGTTTGCTTTTCACATTTCTGGCCGCATGTAGCAATTGTTTTACTGGACACCACTGTTTTATTGTTCCAATAGTCCTGGCTGTCAAGAATATATGCATCAAGTTTCCTCAGTTGCATCTAATGATTCAAATGGTTGTTAGATCTATGCTACCCAAATCATAGACAGGCAGGGAAATGAAATCTATCATAATTTATATAAAAAAACAAAACCCAGGCCATCTAGGCAATTATGACTCAGACACCCCATCAGGCAGAAGAGAACTGCTGCACAGGGCTTTTGTAAGGCTGTATAGGGTTTCCAAGGAGCAGGTGGTGAGTTTGAGCCAGCGACCTTGTGGTTCAAACTGACCTTGCAGTCCATCCAGTGTTTTATCTCACAGTACCACACCAGGACCTCCGTAACAACAACAACAAACTTTTTAAAAAGAAGCATACTGCTACATCTTTCTCCCACAGAGCTGGTGGTGGGCTCAAATCACCAGCATTTTGGTTAGCAGCTAAGTGTTTTAATTATTGCAGAATCCAGGCTCCTTCATTTATATAAAGTGATGAACTCAGAGAAGACCTATGGAAGGAATCATTAACATGGGTTCTGGTTGCCTGATATTAACAACTTCATGCCTATACAATGTAGTTACAGCTCTTAGAGCAGATTTGCATTTAGTCTCTTAAAACTGAGCTTCTCATACCCAAATGACCAGGGAATACTGATTATATGGTAATGTAGAAAAGGAACACGCATGCAGCCATGTGTAAACATTATACCAGGATTAAAGCTGCTGGCAAAATGTTCTTATTTTTCACATAAACAATTATAAAGACTGCAAAAAATTATCAGTGCATGAATCATGTTGTTGGGTTTCGTGTGGTTTTTTTTTTCAATTTTAGCAAGAAATGAAATGTATTTAAAATTTTGATCATTGCATAAAATAAAATCTTAAGACAAAATATTTTAATGCAGAATATCATCTTTAAATAGAAAACGCTGTCAGTAGACCCACGCACACAGAGCTCATGCACCGGGGGTTCTCTGGTGAAACGTGCTGGCATTCCTGTTAGCACTGAGCCACTTCCTGTAGGGACGTTAATTTCCAGACCACACTCACCTGAAGCACAGACTCTGGAAGGTATGGGGTGGGGCTCAGGAAACTATGCCAAATGCTCTCCTAGACATGGGAGTAATGCAATGCGAGATGCAAATAATACATTTTCAAGAGATGTAGCTCCAAAAGGTTTTCACAGATAAAATTCCCACCTGCATCAGCTTGGTGTCGTGCCCTGTGTAGACGACTATTCCATGAACCCACTGTGTATTTCTCAGCTGAGCTCCTCGCAGAAGAATCTGATCCGCTCCCAGGGGAACAGTGCTGTGATAGAGGATGTTTACATTAGAAACAATGCTTGCGAAAATGCTTAAGAATTCCTCTGCCATTATAAAAAACGAAGTCAAATCCACCCTGACTGTAGCAAGCCCAAGAGTAAAACTGCCTCATATGGGTTCCAAGGCAATACATTTTTATAGAAATTGACCAGTAAGGTTGAACCTCTGACCCTTTCACATAAGAGCCAAGTGCTTTAGTCACTGTGCCAGCAAAGGTCCCTCAAATATTCTGTTACTGAGTTAACTCTTCTCACATTCACCAACTTCACTATCCAAAATAGTAAGAGACATTTCAGGATTCACAGAGAGTAATTCTCAACCCTATTTATAACTTTTCCTGAATTAGTAAATCCATTTAGGGTTCTTAGCTATTTGGATGTGGTGGGGCTGGGACATCTGTTCACCGTCCACTCAAACTCTTGCTTTAAATTCAAAATAGCTTTGAGCAGAAAAAATGTTAAAAAAAACAATAAACAATGTAAGATGAATATACAGATCTCACCATAAAATTGTACTCTTATCCTTGCTGTAAAGAGATAGCTCCTGGTATTTAAAAACTATATTAATTTAATAATATTTGAATAGCAGTTCTCCAAGTATTGCAAATAAATTTTCAATAAATGGTAATCACTTAACAGGCTTATAAATTAAATTAACTTCTGAAATTACTATAAATTGAAATTATCTAGTCCACATATTTTAAACTACATTTTTCATAAATAGGACTCAAGTTGAAACCTTGATGAGTCTTTTTCTTTGGGAGGTGGGGGGTGGGGTGGCAAGGCTACCTACTCTGATTGTTTGGGGCATTGATTGTGAACCCAAGTAAAATGAAATGCCCAAAGCAGCAGCAGTCAAGAAATCAAATGATGTACTGAACCAGGCAAATATCCTGCAAAAGAGCTCTTTAAAGTGTTAAGAAACAAAAAAACAAAACAAAGATGACACTTTGAGGTCTAAGGTGCTTGACCCAAGCCATAGCATTTTCAGTCACCTCACATGAACATGAAAACTGGACAATGAATAATGAAGACCAAAGAACTACTGCATTTAAATTGTGGTGTTGCCAAAGAATACTAAATATACCATGGAGTGTCAAGAGAACAAATAACTCAATCTTGGAATAAGTACCACCTGATGTTTCTTTGATGTGTGCATGGTGAGACATTTCGTATTTCAGAAATCTTTTGAGGATGGACCAGTCTCTGGAGAAGAGCATCATGCTTGGTAAAGTAGAGAGTCAGTGACCAAGAGGAAAACCCTCTAAGAAATGAATTGACACAGTAGCTACACCAATGGGCTCAAATATAGCAACAACTGTGAGGATGGCACAGGATCAGCCAAGTGTTTTGCTTTGTTGTACATAAAGTCATTATGAATCAGAACTGACTTGATGGCACCTAATAACAACAACAACCCAGTATAGTAGGTTGTCAGGTGATACAACCTTACACAGGGATATCAGAGGGTTACAAGACTATCACAGATACGTAGGGAGTCTTGATAGAAATGTAATACACAAATTTACTGGTTCACTATCAAACCTTCATTTTAAAAAGTGGGGAAAACCCTCCCATCAAATATAAAGAAAAATATATCTTTTAAAACTTCTGGAATAAGAAATAATTTGCCAAGGAAAGTCTTAAAGAACTTCCTTATCAGTGATGAGAACATGTGACTGATGGATTCATTTCCGTTGGGATTTTATGGCCAAGGAGGGCCCTACGGTGAGTCAGGGCTTAGGCCTCACACCTTGCATTCAACTTTCACCATCTCAAGTATAATCAAACCACATTGATTGAAACGGGTAAGTCTTTAGGCAACTGGCTATTTCATTTTAGAAAACGAACAAAGTCAACTATAACCTCATTCTTTAGGTACAATTGTGTGGCTCAGGATCATTCTGGGCATATGTTTCAAGATTTGGAGTACTCCAAAGAGGTTCTTAGGAAGTTGTTAGATCAAATTTTGGGGACACGTTTGATTCAAATTTTCCTCATAAAAAAAAAAAGGCCCAGTAGTTGAGCAAATTGCAACTCTACTTGGTGAGCCAATGTATGTCAGAGTAGAGCTGCGCCCATAAGGTTCTCAATGGCTGTTTTTCACATTAGTAGATACCCAGGCCTTTCTACCAGTACCTCTGAGCGGACACAAAGCTCCAGCTAGCAGCTAAGTGCACTGACTGCTCGCATCATCCAGAGACTTCCCTTACCTATGAAATGGGGTGTAATACAGTAGCTGATACCTCAGCATTTGTGATATGGGTTCACTAGGCTTAGGTGCAAACTTCTCAAAAGCAAAAAATATTACTGTCCTACAAAGACTAAAAATAGCATTCATTTTCATCACAGCTGTAATTCCAGAGTGTCTGCCATTTAACAAGGACCCTCTTCCTTAGAGGAATCAGCATATGTCATCTAAACTCAAATGTGATACAAATACTCTCTATTTGAACATAGAACATCTGTTTTCACCTATCATACAAAATGAAACATTATCAGCTTTCTCTCTTAAATCATGGCATCATCATGCAAAGCTGCTCCTTCAGATCATGCATTTGCTTGGCATCAATCTGATGGGGGAATTGATAAGAAATGGAAGCTGGCCAGTTAAGAATATCAGACTACAGAAATGCTACTTGTAGTGATGGCTGAATTTTTCATTAGTCTATAACCATATGTTCATGAAAAAAATCACTCCGTACAAATTTTAGAACATTAATTACTTCAGAAATTACCCAGACAGCTTTTGGTGGATCTGAATGAAGATGAGCATTTACGGTACACACCAACTGTCCTTTAGGGTTCAAATAACCCTTTTACAAAATTGAAAAGATTGTTTGCTATTTTCAACAGCTCTCCTACCATTATCCCAAACATATTCCCATCAGGCTCCACGGAGTCTGTTCTAATTACACTCAATGGTTTCCACTTGCTAAATCCTAATAGCTAACTGACAGCTTCACTGTACTTAACTGTCAGCAACATCTCATATATTTTAGTCACTCCCTCTGCCTAGGTTTCTATCCTATCAACTGTGCCTCATTCTTTTTTGCTGGTTTCTCCCTTTTCTCACACTCTTAATACTGGAGAATCTCAAGATAATCCTTGGGACTCTTCACTTTTCCATCTGCAGTCATCACCCTATATGATCACCTCCAGTCCCATGGCTTTAAGCATCTAAGCCCCAAACTCCCAGATTTCTCAGACCTCCCTCCCAAATTCCACATTTACATATTCAACTTGACATTTCTGTTTAGACATTTTAAATTGTTTAAAGGAGTCTTGAGGGCACAACAGTTAAGCATCTAGCGGCTAATGGAAAGGTTAATAGTTCAAACACACCTAGCAGTTCCTCAGGAGAACCATCTACCATAAAGATTATAGTCAATAAAACCTTACTGAGTAGCTATGCTCTGTCACATGGGGTCACCATGAGTTGGAATTGACTTGATGCCAACCAATAACAAAAAATGTGTTAAGTCCAAAGATAAAATGCTGATCTGCCTTTATTCAATATCCTCCAATAAATCCCTATTTCACTTAGTATGAAACACTTACAATGATCGGCTAAGTCTTCCATGGTCAACTAGATCTCTCAGCTTCTCTCTAATTTCTTTCTTCCCAGGTTACTCCACTCCAGCCATACCAGCCTTACTATTCCCAAAATAACCCGAGCACCTTCCCACTATAAGATCATGTAATGATATAACAAATCATTTGTATTTACCATTCTTCTGCCAAGGAACCCTGGTAGCACAATGGGTTAGGAGTTGGGCTGCTAACCTTAAGGTTAGCAGTTCAAATCTACCCAACATTCCAAAGGAAAAAGATGAGGCTTCTGCTCTTGTAAAGATTCACAGACTCAGACACTATAGAATAGGCTGCTGAAATGTGCAAAGACCTATAGTTAGAAAACCAAAGGGAAAACCCAAAGGGAAATACACATTCAGCATTTCTCAAGCTTAAGGAACTAAAGAAAAAAGTGCTATACTGACAGATTCTGTGAGCAAAATATAAACTGAGGCAGAAAGCATCAAAAGAAGATGGAAGGAATACACAGTCACTGCACCAAAAAGAAATGGTTGATGTTCAACCATTGAAGAGGTAGCATATGATCAAGAGTAAAGATCCTGAAGGAAGAAGTCCAAGGTTCCAAGAATTAATGGAATACAAATTGAAATCTTTCAGCAAACTGATGAAGCTCTGAAGGCACTAACTCATCTATGCCAAGAAATGTGGAAGACGGCTATCTGGCCAACTGATTGGAGGAGATCTGTATTATACCAATTCCAAAGTGAGGTGATATGCATGTGAAAGTTGGACAGTGAATAAGGAAGTCTTTAGAAGAACTGATGCCTTTGAGTTATGGTGTTAGAGGAGAATACTGAAAGTACCATAGACTGCCAAAAGAACAGACAAATCTGTGTTGGAAGAAGTATAAATAAAATGCTCCTTAGAACCACAATGGCCAGGCTTCATCTCTCATACTTTGGACTTACTATCAGGAGAGACCAGTACCTGGAAAAGAACATCATGCTTGGCAAAGTCATCATGCTTAAGAAAGAGAGGAAGACCCCCAATGAGATGGACTGTCACAGTGACCGTTGTTGTTGTTGTTGTTGTTAAGTGCCGTCGAGTCGGTTTCGACCCATAGCGACCCTGAATAGGGTTTCCGAGGCTGTAAATCTTTACGGGAGCAGATCGCCTCATCTTTCTCCCGTGGAGCAGCTGGTAGTTTCGAACTGCTGACCTTCCGGTTCGCAGCCCAATTCGTAACCACTACGCTACCAGAGCTCCTTCACAGTGACCGTAGCAAGGGGCTAAAGCGTAGCAATGATTGTGAGGTTGGCATAGGATCTGGAAGTATTTCTTCTCTTGTATGTAGGATTGCTGTAAGTTGGTACTGACTTGACGACACCTAACAACAACAAGATGAGTCAGAACTGACTCGAGGGTACACACCACCACTATCACCACCATTCCTTCTGCCTGGAATTCTCTAGCTCCAGACATCCAAGTAGCAAACTTCTTCAACTCCAACTACTGTTTGCTCAAATATTACCCTCTCAATGAGACTTAGTGGGACCAACCTAACTAAAAGTGGTATCTTCACAAGGACTCCCCAAATTCCTGATCTTGTGCTGTCATTTTCTCTACTCCCACCAACCCAACCACCTATAACTTTCTAGCACACTAGATTGTTGTTGTTAGGTGCCATCAAGTCAGTACTGACCCATAGTGACCTTACGCACAACAGAAGGAAACACTGCCCGATCCTGGGCCAACCTCACTACTGTTGCCACTACTGTTGCACACTATAGAATTTGCTTATTTATCATTTTATTGTTTGTCTGCTTTTCCCTAACAGCAAGAAAATAAACTCAAAGGGTAGAAATAGTTATGTGTTTGCTTTGAAGTTTCTTCCTTAACTTCTGAAAATGGCCTTGTACACAGAGGTGCTTAACAGGTTTTGGTTGACTAGCTATGGGAAGAAGCAGGAAAAAGAGAGAGGAAGGGAGAATAGCAAGCAAGCCATAACCAAAACTGTCTATTGATGACAAGACCTAGAAAAGAACATACAGAATTATATAGAAAAGAGAAGAGATGATTCAGTAAAATGAACCCCCTTCAGATAAGAGTTTGACCTCCATGACACATTCAGGGATTACAGAAAGAGACTCAGGCCATGGAGATTGGATGTTACTCCTAGAATTGGTAATTACAATTTAAGTATTCCAGCCACAGAATAAGCCACGGGTGATTTACTCATTCAACAATATGCTAGAAGGCTGGGTATATCTTAAAAGATATCCAGCTGTCAGTTTGATAGAACCCCTGAGAGGTCTTTAGTTAGGCCATTGTGTATTGGTACTCACTATCTGCATTTTCACAAAAAGGGACTCTGCATAGAAGAGTAACACTTAACTAAACTCATTTTGCATCACCAACTCAGCAATACTGTGTCACACAGTGAATTCCATGTTGTATGAAACCGGTTTTACATACCCATGTCCATCAAGTCTTATGTTTCCAACAAAATCGTAGAGATGTCTGTTTGGACTTTCACACTCAATTCTGCCAGAAATTCTCATCAAACTGTCAATGTCTTTTATATCTGCTGTTGATGGTAAGCCCTGTTTAAAATTTTTTAAATAAGCAAAAAGAATATCAAGTAAGTTGTGTATGGAGGGCATCTTCAGAATCCACTCATGCCTCATCTAACAGACTCCATTATTTTATAAGCAATTCTAACACACAACTAACAGACATCCACTCATCTAACAGACTCTATTAGTTTATAAGCAATTCTTTCCACTTATACAATATTTTCCCTGTTAAGTAATCATTAAATATACCTTCCTCTCCACTTGAATACAGTTATTCAGCATAAGAATAGGGCAGCTTTTCTGAATTTCTAAAATATATTTATGAGATTATAGTCTGCAAAGATATGTTAAAATAAGTCCCCAAAGAACCATCTGCCTCCAAAAGTAAAATATCTATCATTTGTTGTTGTTGTTGTTAACTGCCGTTAGTTAAATTGGTTCCAACTCACAGTGACCCTATGTAGGGTTTCTGAGGAGCAGCTGGTGGATCATCGATCTTAAGGTTAGCAGTCCAGTGCTTATCATAAAGGAACTCTCCAGTATCTAGCAGTGTTGTTGTTGTCAAGTGCCAGTGAGTAAGTTCTGAGTCATAGCAACCCTATGTAGGGTTTCCAAGGAGCAGCTGGTGGATTTGAACTGTGGTTAGCAGTCCAGGGTTTATACTATACCACCACATTAGGACTCAACCATAAGTTGAAAATGAATGGAATCTATGTCCAAGAAGAGTAGTAATATTTATGTTCTTTCATTCTAGTAAGGGAAAAAACTCTTAAATACTTTGTCCTCTCTAGCCAACAGAACTAGCTGCCACTCAATGTGATGCCTTCTACTGTGGCATTAGGCTCTGTAATGACTTACTCCATCACACCACAAACTTATCACACCATTTTAATCATTCACCTAGAATCCAAGGAGATCCATTTTTAAAGTCCACTTCAAAACTTCAAAAATATACACATTACAATAGTTTATAGCTAGAAGTGGTATGAAAACTCAATAGAGATATAACAATATCTGAATGTAACTGCATGTTTGAAAACAGCAATGCAAACAACTTTACAATCCATCAAAATCAAATAATAATTTGGGTCAGTTGAATAGGGAAAACAAACAAATTAACACATGTCAAAGCACTAAGACTATTAGTATTTTACCATCAGTGCACTGGCTATTACATGAAACTATTTTATTTAAATAATTTATGCATGTTGTTAAGACTATACAGCAGCAGAGCATACACCAATTGAACAATTACTACATACACGATTCTGTGACATTGAGTATATTCTTCACATTGTATAGTCATTCTCATTCTCCTTTTTTAAATTGCTCCTCCATCATTAACATAAACTCACTGTCTCATGAAAGCAGCAGTCAAGAAGCCAAACCACATACTGCATTAAACAGATCTACTGGAAAAGAGCTGGTTAAAGTGTTAAAGAGCTAAGACGCCAATGAGAAGACTACGATGAGCCTAAGACAAACCATGGTATTTTCAATCACCTTCTATGCATATGAATGCTGGACCATGAATAAGGAAGTCTTTAGAAAAATTAATACATTTGAATTATGGTGCTGACGAAGAATACTGAAAGTACCATGGCCTGGCAGAAGAACAAACAAATATGTATTAGAAGAATTACAGCCAGAATGAGTTTCAGAAGCCAGGATGGAGAGACTTTGTCTCATGTTCTTTGTACAGGTTGTTAGAAGAGATCAGTCCTTGGACATCATGCTTGGTAAAGTGGAGGGTCAACAAAAAAGAAGACCCTCCGTGAGATGGACTGACAGCGACAGCAACAACAGACTCAAACATAACTATTGTACGGATGGCCCAGGACCAGGCAGTGTTCATTCTGTTGTGCATAGAGTCATTATGAGTCAGAACCAACTCGAAAGCCTCTAACAACAACAGTGCCTCCTCAGGTTTCTATCTAATCTTTCAAGCTGATGTTCTAATTTTGATCACATGTAGACAGATCCTAAGGAGCTCTGGAAGTGTAGTGGGTTACAAGTTGGGCTGCCAACCACAAGGTAAGCAGTTTGAATGTACCAGCCGCTCCATGGGAAGAAAGATGAGGCTTTCTGCTCCCATAACTATTTACAGTCTGGGAAACCCTAGACAGGGTCACAATGAGTTGGAACTGACTCCATGGCACATAACCACCACCACCATAGATAGATTGTAAAAGCAATTCTTTACTATCTAAACTTGAAACTGTTGTTTAGTTTTAAGAAGACATAAAAAAAAAAAAAAAAAAGACGACATCAAAGGATAATTTTGGTTTAAGATTTAAAGATTATCTTGGCACAATAATTTCAGGCCTAGCTTCCAGACTCCAGGAAGCCTAGATTACATGAAAATTTTAAATTCTGTTCTACATGTTCTCTCTTTTGATCAGGATTCTTCTACAGTCTTTGATCAAACTGTTCAGTGATGGTTATCAGGCACCATCTAGTTCTCCTGGTCTCATGAAAATGAAGCAGTTGTTCACAGAGACACTCAGACACACATTCCAATTCTTCCTCCTATTCCTGACTCTCTCTTTCTGTATTGCTCCAGTCAAATAGAAATCAAGACACTTTTTTAGGGGGGGTTGTTTTGTTTTTTTGGTTAGGTATACTAACTGTCATTGAGTCAGTTCCAACTCATAGTGACACTGGACAGGGTTTCCAAGGAGTGATTCGTTGAGTTTGAACTGCTGACCTTGTAGCTCAAAGCAACCAAACCAAACTCCAAGTTAAGCATGGTGGTGGTGGCTGTATGCTGTGGAGTCAGTTTCGACTCACAGTGACCCTGTAACAGGGTTTCAGACGCTGTAAATCTTTACGGGAGCAGAACGCTTCATCTTTCTCCCGCAGAACAGCTGGTAGTTTCAAACTGCTGACCTTGAGGTTTGCAGCCAGATTCGTAGTTTGCAGCCAGATTTGTAACCACTACGCTACCAGAGGTCCTTAAGTTAAGCATAGTATCTCATTATATGAGGGCCCATATCATTAACCAAGCAAATCTGAGTCTTCAGTAGTACTTAATGACATTATTCTATAAAACATCTTGTGGTCAAAGTGGTTCACTGAGAAAATATCTGCAATTGGACAGAATTAATTCAACATTAGATAGTAACACTGGGATATAAAGCTTTCATTCCATGCAATAAAATAGCAATTACCATGATAAACCTGTATGAAATCTTACCTGTCGAATTTTCAGGTTAGTTTCACCATCTAAGTTGGATGTTTCAATGTAACACATGGCCTGGGGCTCACTGTTGTTTAAAATGGAGAAGCACAAAGATTTAGAGAAAAAGAGACAGCATAACAACAACAACAACATTAATGGCTTATTTAAATGCTCACTCACTGAAACCTTGGATTCTAGACAAAGCCACAAGTCACCTTGTATCTTGACGTTTTCATTCTAACAGCAAGATGCCATGAGGCAGAACTCATGCATGACAACTTATGGATCAACTTTTCAGCCAGAAAAACTCAAAAATAATTTCCTAACAATAATCACTGCTGGTCTTTGGGACAATGTAAATGAACAGATCTGTCACACAGTATTTAATTTGTTCATCCATACAGACACAACACAGACTCCAGCTGCAACGTAAGCAGCTTTTGGGCCCAAATTTATCTTTGGTTCAAAAATATCATGTGAGATTTCATGCTTATGGTGCACATGTAAATTGGTTAAGAAAAGAAGCTGAGCAGAAAATTCCAGATTGCTGCTTCTACAAACTTGCATTTACTACTCCTTTACATGTAATGAACAGGTTCATGTAAATGCAATATTAAAATGTTAAGTCCATTTTAAAAACTGTTTGAACAGACTTTAAAATGTAAATGGAAATAGATCTTCCTCCCCCAACTTTTGGTTTCTGCTCTCCAGTTTTTAATAGCTGCTTCAGAGATTCTTGTGGCAGCAAAAGCTAAAACTAAAACTCCATATTAAGCTAATCAATAGTCAATTTAGCCAATATTATTCTTCGACCTGATCCAAGAAGATCAACTTTATGGGTTTTAGTAAAATCTGGTGTAGGATGACTGTTGTAAGGGGTGCATGTTCTCCTTTTACCAAGGGTACCACACCTTTAAATGTCTCATAATTCTGCCCCTTAACACACCAACTCTAATGGCTGAGAAACGATAGACACAGGAGTTTGTAGCCAAACCTTATAATGTGGTACTCATCTATAAAGAAAACCATTCCGAAATTAAATTCTAATCTTAATGCTTGGTTATAGAATAAAACTAATTTATTGACATCAGATAACTATGAATACAACCTTTAACAAGCAAGTGTGATCAAAGCTAGGAAGAAAGAAATTTGCAAGTCACAAACACCTGGAATTTTCTAGTCAGTTTCCAATTTGTACATGGGCAGAATAAATTTTAAAAAGTTTTAGAAATGCACATTTAGCTTGATTTTGTGGCCTGAAGATTGGAGAAAATTTATTTTTCAGATTAATCTTGTATTTTACAGATTTAATTTTACAGCAATTCTGTAAGTTCTCCTATTACTCTATAAGCTTTCTTTCATAAAGGCTGCTCTATTTTTCCTAACTGAAGAAATTTTTTAATATTTTTATTTTCACTCTGTCAATAATTCAAAGTTTTAGTTTCTACTACTGTCATCATGGTAACTTACTGCTGGCTACTTTTCTCACTTTTGACTCACTTGTGTATAACTTCAAAAATAGAAACAACTGATGAAATCATAAAACATTATCTTCTGATAACACAGAAGCATGACAACAAACAAATGCTAACTGAACAACGTTGATTTCAGATTCTGGCAGGAAAATGCATGAAAACTTTATGGATTAATATACTTATCCAAGGCTGTTTTCCTTTCTAAAACATGAATAACATTTCGGTTCTAGGTCTAGATTTTTTGTTTTGTTTTGTTTTTTCATAAAGCAGCTCTTCTGGGAAGTTAAATGGCTGATTCCTAGTTGAAGCGGAGCGAAACAGAATATGCAACTAAATTAACATTTTTAATAACACTGAAGCAGTTCTGAATAGTGCTGTGAAAAGGCAGCAAGAAGTCTCAGATAAGGAATCATGCTAGAGAATTAATATTTCAGCAAATTATGATGACATCCCAAACACAAAGTACAGTCAGAGAGGCAAAGCAGGCTTTCTGATTAGTAAGTGGAAAATGAAACAAGATGCGTATCACATACAGACACTCATCAACAACTGAACTGTATCACAGGAACGTGCACTTTGTCACGAGTTACAAATGGGATAAAAATTGATCCCAAAGCATGCGGTACAAAATATACAATATCCAGCTTGGTGCAGGGGGTCCTCTATAAACCCTATACAAGCCCAAATTATAGTCATAATCACCACAATGGTTCTACAGATTTTATAGAAATTGTCAAATATGTTTAAAAAAATATGTTTCAAATCTGAAACACTTCTCAATAACTGTTTCATGGAAGCTAACATTGTTCAAAACAAGATCCTGGGGAGGTAAAAAATTAAGCCTTAGTGTTCAGGCATGTAATTTAATCTGAATATATATTAAAGATGCATAAGAAATTTAAACTAACTTTACTGGTTTATTGATAGCAACAGGAGCTAAATCTGTCCAGCTGAGGGACAAACAACGTTCAACATTGGATTCAGGAAAGGTTTCTGAAGCATCTGTGAAATGCTCATCACCAAGAAATATCAAAAAGTTTGGTTTTAAAGGAAGACATAAATAACTCCGACTATATTCAGGTACAACTAGTCTCTGGTTTAGGTGAGGACCCACATACACACATCCTGTATAGCTCAGTAGTTCTAACCTTGAGGACAGACTGATGAGATCTGCTGGGAGATGTTCCCCATTGGTCACTTTCACTATCTCCCCTACTGCCACCTACATGGCCCAGTTTAAAATAATTAAAATGGAAAAGAAAAATGAATAACAAAGGGATAAAACAAACAAACATATGGACAAAAGAGACAGAAAGTTTGAAATTATTATAAAAATAATACATGTTAATAAAAATGTCTAATGCCTATTTTTTCAAAATTTATTTTGATCAGGTTTAAAAGCATAAAAAGCCATGTAACAGATAAGGAATAGTTATTTGCTTCTAAGCCCAATACTCAATGCAAACATTTTTTATTTTTAAAGTTTTCTCACTAGCATAACTTATCAAATTAAAAATGTATATTTATAGTGAAACTATTTTGTAGATTTTTCCGTCTTCAATTCCTCGACCAGTGCCATAATAAACTCTATGATTTATTTTCCTGACACTAAAACAGTATTTCTGTTAAAAATGTTCTGATTCCAATGGGTTTTGTAAATTAATTACGTAAATACCTTATTAGCATCAATGTATAAACACGATCTTAGGAAGATGGAAGTCATCCTTGCAGCATTTTGAGTAACTGAGTAATTAATAAAGTAAATGAAGTACTGGTGTGGCACTGAAGGATAAGCACTAGACTTCTAACAACAAGGTCAGTGGTTCAAACTCACTAGCCACTCCTCGGAAACCCTATACAGTGCTATGAATCGGAACCAACTCAGCAGCACTTAACAACAACGATGAAAATATTGTGGAGTCCTCGTGTGGCAATGTAGGAGAAGTTGTGGACTGCTAATCACAAAGTAAGTGGTTCAATCCCACCAGCCATTCCTTAGAAATCTTATACAGGTTTGGTATGAGTTAGAACCTACTCGATGGTACTTAACAACAACAACAGGTAATATACTGTGCAGAATCGAGCACATTTTTTTCAGAGAAGGTAGGAAACAGACATGCAGAGAACCTATGTAGACTTCAATTGATAACTTATTCTACTCTATTTTATATTTTCTAAACACATAAATGTATTATTTTCACATGCTAAAATTTCAGTTTCTTTATTTTACAATAAAAATCATAGTCACTTTCAAATTGTTTATTAATTAATTTCAAACTACCTCACTGAAGATTCACTATTAGTAATTAATGACTGAAAGGTAATTGGGGATGATTAAAATATTACAGTTTTCTTTGTTCTTAGTGTTAAATGATGCTCACCTGCAGGTGAGTATCACCATGTACTTACTTTTAGTGGAAAATATTTGGCAAAATGAAGACAGTAAGTATTCAAACCTTGAAATGTCATTAACTAGTTAAGTGGCTAAAAAAAAAAAGTACAGGGGAAGGTGGAACACAGGGTAGGGAATAGACACAGGATAGTTTGGGTGCTGGGGAGGGGGGCAATATACAAGGGCGAGGGGATTGGAAAAACAAAGCGGATGAGAGAACAATTAGGCAGGTCTGCATGGGCTAAGTGGGACAGAGGTAAAGAATGATGTACGCACAACCTTGGAACAACAGGGCTCTGAGATACAGGGATTGAGAAAAGGTTGGAATGCGGAAAAGGGGGAAAATAATGTTAAGATGCTTGGCTGTCTTTTGAATCTTGGTTTCCCTGGCATACCATTATAAAATAGACATTTGAGTTGGAGAAGAAGGAATAGCCAGAAATATCACCATAGAAAGCTTATAAGTCCGTCTTCTGCCTATAACTGATTGGAATACCTCAAAGGGGGCTACAATGTGCCCAGTGAAGGAGGCTTCCTGCAGAGCCTCTGCATTACATAAAACTATAGGTGGAATCCTGAACAGCATCCAGAATCTTCTGAAGTGGAAATTTTCCACTTGAAAGGACGGGCAGACCAGCCTGGAGCGGCTAGAAGAACAGAAGATACATCTTGAGAGAATGACCAGCAGGAAAAATACAAAACAATATAGGCAGACCAACTGATTACTACAAGAACAAGCAAGTTGCTCACCCAGGAGACATCAAGGCAAGTGGTCGGGTACCCTCAGAGCAAATCCCCTTTCAAGACTAACACTCAATGGGCATACACGCTCTGACTGGTGACCACGTTCATCACTGATAAGGGGAAATGAGGGTAAAACAGAAATGAAGCTGTGAGCTAAGCCTTACAATGTTCAATAGACTCCTGGCGAACCCGGTGGAGACCTAGTTGGCCAGCAGTGTGGCAAGACCTAGGGACTCTTGGGCCCAGAGTCAGTGACATAGCCACAGAGAGCTAGAGTGGAAAGTGAAACTTCCAGCTGATAAAAAGAGAGGACATATGCATAAGAACACCCACACTTGCAGATAATACCCATCTGACCTGGCTTCAATGACTGAATGATCAGAGTTCAACTAGAAGAAAGAAGAGGAAAAAAAGAGTAATCTTATACAATTTGATGAACTTGACCTACACCTATGGATGCAATAGCTCAAAGAGGGAACAAATCTTTACAGTAAGGATCATTCCCACCCACTCCGTACACAGAGTAGACGGGGAGGGGGGGGGGGTGGTCTACAGAGGCAAGAAGTGATTACAAGCTTTCAAGAGGAAACCTAGATCCAGAGGGCATGGAGGAAGGTAGAATCTCCACTGAGTAGTATCCAATCTGTCTAGGCAGGGCTGATGAAAGGAAATGAGAATAGGTCTCTTGTGATACAGTAGTGTATAATTATTATCAGGACTGATTGCGAGGGTTGGAAATGTAAAGGTAGATGTTTTGTAGCAAGGAGGGGAGTGATTAACTTTACAGTCTAGGAGCGGAGGTCCCTAGGACCATCAAGGGAGAAGAGCAGAGCGTGGGACCCTATCCAGAGAAGCAGTAATGGCAGAGATGGAGGCAGAGATGATGTAGAGAGATGGAGCGGCTGGGGACTCTAGACCCAGAGAGGGAGAGGGGCTGTGTGCTGACGCATAGAGGGAGTTGTTACCATGGCAAAGAAACGATATACGATAGGATGAATGTAAAATTAATGTTCTCCCATGTAAACTATCACATAATTCACAATAAAATATTTTTTAAAAAGTACAAAATTCTTTTATAAAATGATCATAAAGATCTTGTACTATTTCTGATGGCTGACATCAATTAAAAAGAGGTAAGTAATGCAAAATCTTTGAGGAAATAAAAAAAAGTCAACTGAGAAGTAGCATTTCATCACTTGGATAGAAATATCTAATAGAATAACCTATGTATTATGAATCCTGGTAAATAACAACAAAAAATGAATCAGATAATCTTTATGACAATAATAATCTTTGGAGGAAGTCAATTACTTAGGATGATGATTATTTGATGATTATTATCAAAACAGTAACTGTCTTCTTTTAATGATTGAAAAATAAATCCTGTAAAAGTGTATTGACATTTTAAAAATGTAAGCACACAGCTTTCCTGGAGAGTTTCAGGGATTGAATAGAGGCAGACGAAAGATAAGAAAATGTTCAATCTAGAATTAAACATAAAGTCGGGGGAAAATATTCAATAATCTTTGTATTTGTGGGCATACAAAAAATAAATATGGTAGTTAATGGCTCAGTATATAGAGCTCTCTCTAAGAGTGTGTGTGTTTTCAGGAAAACATGAACACTTCCTGAAACTGCTGAAAGGTTTTACTATCCTACTGAACTTTCTTAAAAAATATAATGCAATGTAAATATAGTCAATCATTTGATACATTACCAAGCTTCTACTTAGTATCACTAAGTGAGCATAATTCTGTTGCTAGGCACTTATAGATTTAAAGATTATCAATTTAAACAAAAAGAGAACCAGAAGAATCAGGGAATAGGAGATCCTGGTCATAAAATTCATTGTCCTCACATTAAAAGACACAAAGTCAAGGCCTAGAAAATGAAGCAAGTTCTTCAAAATCACCAAGTCAGGACACGGACCCTGGTTTCCTGACCCCTAAGTAGAGCTTTCGTTAGGATTGGATTCTACTCAGAACACCAGAGGACAACAATGAATTCACAGTTAAATTCATTTTCATATGGTCATGTGGGAATCATAAACTTTGCTTCAGTTTCAGAAATTTACCCTGAAAAAGGAATAGGAAAAGGAAACTCTTAACAGAAATCCACTACCACTAAGTCAATTCCAATTCATAATGATCGTCTATAGGATTTCTGAGACTGTAAATCTTTACAAGAGCAGATAATCTCATGTTTCTCCTTTGGAGCAGCTGATGGCTTTGAACCATTGACCTTGTGGCTAGCAGCCCAATGCTTACGCTACAGTTCCACCAGGACTCCTAATAGAAAGGTTGAGTAAACATACCTGTATTAATTTTTCCTATAATCTAAGTCTCTTCCATCTGCACTGTACACAAAAATCTAAAAATGGCACAAAAGATTGTCAACTATAAAATATACAGACTTCCATAAATATCAGGATAGCTTTTACTTACTCAACTTTTTACTAGCTCTTCTTTTCTAGTTTGTCATAAGTCCAATCACTTTAATAATGACCTGATCAAATAGATTTTGAAAAAATAAAACACAGTCCATATTTATATGTGGATTTTACAAATAAAACTGTCCAAGGAAATGATGATAAACAACCTCCAAAATATTTTTTAAATTTTTTCTTAATTTATATTAAGACTAGCTGTTGCATTTTTAAACATAAAATCATTTGAAAGTCACATTTGTTAAAGTGTAACAGTGTCAGATATCCTGAGTACTAATTCATGACTATCGTAACCATGAATAAATAAAAAGTATTTAAATTCCATAATTGAAAGAATTTAAAAGAGAGGATTAAGTAGTATTGCTGTTGTTGGAAGAACATGGTATTTCAAAAAGTACAATTATAATAAATAAATAATTTGTTCAACTTTCTTGTACCATTTCACCATGAACATCAAAATACTTGGCAAGACTATATATACATACATATCATAATAAACGTTTACCATGAACCAGGATTACAAGCTAAAATCACTAGAACCCAATCCATGTATTATATAAAAAAACAGAAAATCTAAGAGTTAATGACTGATACTAAAGGATTTAGACATACTCTTCCAAGAGGGAGAGTAGACTGTAAG